ACGTTTTCCAATATATGTGTACGTTAATAGTTTGTTTGTGTATGCACAAAAAAGATGCTACATTGTTTTTATATACGAGATGAAGTACGACACTATCAAAGTACAATTGTCCCATCTTTTTTGATTGATTTCTCACGTTAATCATACATATTGTCCCATAACTTGCCACGATATTATGTGTCATTGGGAATATAACTCGATCAAGGATAATACCCGCTCGTATTACAATACACTAGAGAGGTGACTAATACGCACAATGGTAATTGATGGAGAGCGTAAACAAGCAGAGGAGAAAATATGACGCATGGTATATGCTCAAGCAAGGGTAATAGCGTATAAGCAAAAAATTAGCATCTGACGAGAGAACATTTCCAAGTGATACCAACCATTCGGGCTCACATTTTTCTCATAAGTAGGATCTACTGAGACTAGAAAAATTCTAAAATATTTCGTTCCATTAGACGTGTCGTTTAAAGTTATGACCGTTTTACTGAATTATCGGCTCTAGGTAAGGAATTTATAGAAAAATCGAATAATGAAATTTCGGGGTGAAATTTTCCCTAACAATAGGTCTCATTGATATTAGAATATAGTAAAACTTTCAGTTAAAATTGATTCTTCCTTCCCGAGATATTGCATATTGAAGAAAACGGTCATTTTTGCGAAAAAAAATTATTGTGAAATTGACTTTTCTTCAATATGTAATATCTCGAGAAGGAAGAATCAATTTTAGCTGAAAGATTTACTATATTCTAATATCAATGAGACCTATTGTTAGGAAAAATTTCAGCCCGAAATTCCATCAGTGGATTTTTCAACAAAGTCCTTACCTAGGGTCGAGAATTCAGTAAAACGGTTATAAATTTAAAAGAAAGGTCTAATGGCACAACATTTTTTAGACTTTTTCTAGTCTCAGTAGATCCTATGTATGAGCAAAATGTGAGCCCGAATGGTTGGTATCACTTGGGAATCTTCCCTCGGGAGACAAAAACTATATATTGCATGTAACATGACAAGTGGTATGCGTAAAATTCATGATCATGCATTGATTCTTCGTAGCATTTGTCCAGATAATATTCTAGTAACAGATGATTATCTAACAAAAATTCGTGATCTCGGTTTAGCTCACGTGTTAGGTCCGTATTTTGAACATATACAAATTGGATGTAAACGATATATGACATCTGAATTTTACGATAGTGGAATATATAGCAAAAGACTTGATATTTTTACATTTGGCTTAATATTAAATGAAGTATTGACTGAGACTGAGCATTAGGTTAAGGAAAATCGAATTCAATTACAAAAGTCAAGTTCAATATTCAGCAATTCTATTGATCGATATCTAGAAGAAGGTCTTGAATATTGACCAACAGCTATGGAAATCGAAGCAACATTAAATTTATACTTAAATGAATTCAATTCGAGAAATTCTACGAATATGAATCATTTAACATTATGGTTAGAAGAACAAAATAAAGCATTTTATCAGTTTTATGAAGAGTATCACTCTGAAGTTGTTCGACTTATTGCAAAACAATTTCCGTGTTTGGAAAGATCGTCAAGATTCAAAGTGTTAACAGATGAACCCAAGAATGGCAAGTTGCACACCCGATGTAAATGTAGTATTCAATAACAACTATCACTTTCGTGGTGGAAGACAATCGTTATTGGACCATACGAAAAAAGATGCAATAAGTGATTTTATTCTGATTTCGATGCTGTGGAATCACGAATACTTGTCTTCTTTTATTGACTTAGTGAATATTGTTTTGTTGAACTAAGGTATATTTATAATTAAAAAAAATTTCTTATTCAAAACGACTACTGTCAGACATGAAAGCACCCGCACGTGCGGCTGATTATGTTAAATGTCAGCCGAGTGCAAAACTTAATTATAAACGTACGTAAGATCCACATTGACAGAGTTCAGCCGTGTTTCTCTGTCACTTTTAGAATAGATGCGCATGACTAAACAAAATCTATTCGCAACTTTGCTGTCTCATTACCCATCATCTCTCCAACAGAATTGATTCATCACAGTGTAGTACTACTTGAATTTTCAAATGTCTGTCACTCATTGCTTAGTCTGTTCAATCACTACGGATCTAAAATGAGTTATTTTCAAGAATATGTTTTCATACCAACTTGTTTCACTCACATTGCAGTTTCATTTGGATCGGGTTACGACACAGTTTCTTGCAGACAGATACTCAGGTAGCCTGATTTTATTCTTTTTCATTGAGACATGTTTTATGTCCAGTGAAAATTTTCATTCGATTGGATTGTTTCATAGTTTGATTGCTGGCTATTGAAGCTGATACGGCACAATACCAGTGTTTGGAGTATAAGAATAACACATGCACGATTCAGGCATTCATGATTGTATGGCAGCATATATGAGGATCAGTATCGCTATAAAATATCTAGTTTAGTTGAAGAATTAGTTAACATAAGAACGCACATCAAAAACAGAACAAGAATTAATTAGAAAAGAGAGTTATTGGAATATAAGAATGATCAGTAGTTCCTTGAACCATTACGCAATGTGATAAACAGTTTGTGTTATAAGCCGAAAACTTCAATAGAATTCGACTGATAGTTTTCATCTCATCGGTTGAATCTGATCATTTTATCGGAGATTCTAGAAACTGAGTCGCAGATCAGAGCACAAGAACGCGAATATAGTGGCTCGACTCTCGTTCCTATAATCTAGATTTCATTTTGACTAAGAAAAATTGTCCCGTGGCTGTGGCTTCCACGTATGTGTTCAAATGATTCAGAAAAAGAATCGTAAACGAAACATACATATTCCTGCAGCATTAATAAATAGTTTAGAAACCTGATTACAGAGATAGCACTATGGTTTCCGCCGATGTGAACAATGAATTTTGTATTAAACAGAATTTTGTTTAAAATAGAATTTATTAGCATTGAACAATAACGGATATGAAAATTGTTTTTATGTCGAAGTTTGGAAATTCCTTAAAAATAAACATATTGGTATCCAGATATGGGTGTGAGCCTTCTTTTCATTTACACTCTGGTCTGTCGTTGTCATGCAGTCGGAAACGAGAAAAGAAGTCATCATCTTTGATAGAGCGAACTATGTTTCAAAGACAAAGGGAATTCTGGCAGATATCAACACCTTTCATCCAGTCACTTATGGCAAAACCGTGAAGCTAGAAGATCGTTTAACAAGAGAACTGCAATAACTGAAAAAAGTAAGGTTTCATTAAGAGGGAAGATTATCAATGATGTCGACATAAAGACTCTCAATCAGCGCGAATCTATCTTCTATCGAAGACTCATGTAGTAAAAACACCTATCAGATTCATTCTCTCAGCATTGGGCACATATAGCTATGACATTGCTTAATTACTCGTGAAACACCTCTCTGACTTATGACAATGCCCAAATGCTATCGCCAATATCTTTTCACTTATCAACGAACTACATTCCACGGATAAACATTTCTCGGACTTTCACATGATTTCATTAGAGATTACTAGCTTGTGCATAAAACTTCCGCTACAATTTAGGATTAATCCCGTCGTTCAAAAATTATATGGTCCATCACACTTGTTCCATGGAGAAGAGAAAAGATAAGTGATGTGAACCTTGCCGTCAAGGGAATAATGTGAAATACCTCTTGGATACTGCAACAACAGTAGTGTATATTTTATTCAACGGTCAAATCTAGAGTCAAGTCGATAACATCGTTATAAGTTCTCTCATGGGTCTTTCATTTGCCGATATCTTCATTATTCATCTAGGAGATGAATTACTTCGGTCATACCAAAAGTAGTGGCCCAGATACCTTATTTTCGTATAGAAGGCTTGGAGAAATTTTCTTTTTTTATGAACAGATAGAGCGTATTTCGCTCTATTTTTCTATGCTATTTGATCACTATTCAACTAATATCATAATAATAAAATTTCGATAACAACTGTTTTTCTAGAAAATTAGCTGGTAGCATTAGGTCATGATGAGTGTGGCACTTTTGCATTTCAGTTTATTATCACTTAATAAGTTGTATTACAGAAACAGAATATACCACAAGATGCAGCGTGAAAAGCTCTATAATTTATAAACGATCGCTTATTCTATAGGTGCACTTTTTGTTTTCAAAATGAATAAAACTCTGAGCTACCACATTTCGACGTTGCAAAAACGAGATTGTTTTCTGGTAAAAGACGAATTCGGTTTTTTCTATCTCATCTTCTTATAACTGTTCTTTGTAAATAGTAGAGCTTTTCACGCTGCATCTTGTAGTGTATTTCGTTTTTTAAAAGAAAAATATATCAGGTAATAAAAAGATGAGATAGAAAAAACCGAATTCGTCTTTTACCAGAAAACAATCTCGTT